TCATCGATGCTCTCCATTAGTTTCACATGCACCGCTTTCTTGGCTTACACTTTTTTGTGGACCTCTTCATTCCACCACCAGTTCCCTTTATGACCCCCGGGTAGCCTTTCGTGACCCCTAACACCTCTCTAGCAGCTTCCCTAATGTAGTCTGCAGTATTGATTCACATACAACTCGCGTCCCCACTGCTCCTCCAGGCCCCCATAGCCATCAACTTCTCCCCTAATACCCGAGCATAGTAAAAGGACCAATTTAGTTATTTTATTTTTTAGATCACCTAAGCCTTTCTGCTGTAAAAGTGTACAATCGAATTCATCTCCGACAACCCTACCCAACCGCTACACTCACCCCCCTTCCCTCTCACAAAAAAGAACCTCATTGATCCGTGTCGCAAACCCATTATCGGGAACCCCAAATATAACAATCCATATGCCCTATTTTTGTGATGTAGTTTGACTGGTTACAAAGTTTAAAAAATAAAAATAGACTTTTAAAATTTGTGGTCTAAAATAAGTCAAAATTTTGTGTGACTATAAATTATCTTATTAAAAAAAATAAAAAATTTAAAGTTAAATTATTTTTAAATATAAAAAAGATAATAGCATTCTTTTTCGTGTTACCTTTTTTTTTTTTTCCAAAATCATTTGTCTTACTTTTTAAAACCTGAAAATCAACATCCGAGGCGCTACCTACAATACCACGACAACCCACAAAAAACCATAGCTCACTCCCACTTTCGGTGGCGGAAGCTCCTCCACAAACACAACAATAAGGTGGACTTTACAAATCCCTTTTCGTATATTCCAATCTTTAACGCATAATTATCCATTTCAATTGCTCAATCCATGGCCACCACCACCAGCAGCTCCAGTAGCAACAGCAAGAAGGAAAATCAAGTTCTTATATTGGGTCGGTACGAAATTGGGAAATTACTAGGCCACGGTACATTTGCAAAAGTGTACCTTGCTAGGAACATCAAAACCAACGAGTGCGTAGCCATAAAGGTGATTGATAAAGAAAAAATCCTCAAAATAGGACTAATTGCCCACATAAAACGCGAGATCTCGATCCTGAGAAGAGTTAGGCATCCAAACATTGTTCAATTATACGAAGTTATGGCAACAAAAGCCAAAATCTATTTCGTGATGGAGTATGTGAAAGGTGGAGAGTTATTCAATAAGGTTGCTAAAGGCAGGCTTAAAGAAGAAGTTGCTCGAAAATATTTCCAGCAATTAATTTCAGCAGTGGCATTTTGTCACGCCCGTGGGGTGTACCATAGAGACTTAAAGCCAGAGAATATATTATTAGATGAAGATGGGAATGTTAAAGTGTCTGATTTCGGTCTAAGTGCTATTTCTGAACAGATAAAGCAAGACGGGTTGTTCCACACTTTCTGTGGTACCCCTGCTTATGTTGCACCTGAGGTTTTGGGTAGGAAAGGGTATGATGGGGCTAAAGTTGATCTTTGGTCATGTGGGGTCATACTTTTTGTGTTAATGGCAGGGTACTTACCATTTCATGACCAGAATGTTATGGCTATGTATAAGAAGATTTACAAAGGTGAATTTAGATGTCCTAGATGGTTTTCCCCAGAATTGGCTCGTTTCTTAACTCGACTTCTTGATACAAATCCTGAAAGGCGGATCACAATTCCAGAGATAATGAACAATAGGTGGTTCAAAAAGGGGTTTAAACATGTGAAATTTTATATAGAGGATGACAAGTTATGTAGCATAAATGATGATGTAGATGATAAAGGAGTTGATTCTTCGTCTGAGCTGTCAGAGTCAGAGTCTGAAATGGAGATAAGAAGGAAGCCGCCTAGTTTGCCTAGGCCTGCTAGTTTGAATGCATTTGATATCATTTCATTTTCACGCAGTTTTGACTTGTCTGGTTTGTTTGAGGATGGAGAGGATGGAGGGAGGTTTATATCGGGGGCTCCGGTGCCTAAGATCATAAGTAAATTAGAGGAAATTGCTAAAGTTGTGAGCTTTGCAGTGAGGACGAAGGATTGTAGAGTGAGTTTGGAGGGGTCTAAGGAGGGTGCAAAGGGACCTTTGACTATTGCAGCTGAGATATTCGAGTTGACACCATCTTTGAGAGTTGTTGAGGTGAAGAAGAAAGCGGGAGACAGAGTGGAGTACGAGGAGTTTTACCATAAGGAATTGAAGCCTGGGTTACAAAATCTGACGCTTGAAGTTGATGGACCTGTCGATTCATCGCATTTGCCTTCAGATACTGAGTAGAAAGAAAAAGAAGGGAAAAAGGGTATGCTCCTTTTTTCTTTCTTTCAGCATATGCTTGGTTCTTTTGTTTTAGCATTCTTTCCATGCTACACTTTTGCTTCTGTTAATGTTGGTCATGTTCCAATGTTAGCAATCTTGTGCTTTCTATTCTTGTTGTTGAATGCTATTAAGTGATCTACAAATTGACTATAATTTTGTCCCACAGTTGGCTTCTTCTGCAAGTTTGAGTTTCTGTTACTAATATCTTGTTATGCTTCATATCATTGTCTCAAATTTACTCTATTTGGCAAGTTACTTTGAATTTTCTGTTACTAATATAATAGGGTGCTGGTGCTCATCCTAACTATAGAATTCTGTTAGTAAACCCTATGGGCAAGTCCGAGACTGTTCTGTCAGTAACTTGTGAAGTTGCTGTATTGCAAATATTTTTTCAATCTTATATTCGAGTACAGCTTTGTGGTGACAATAAGTTGGATGGCACCACAAATAATTCAAAAATATAAAAATATCTCTAAATTATGAGAAATTTTGTGGAATACTTACGTATAGCTTGTAAAGTGGATTTCTTTTTTATTTTCAAATTGTAGATAAGTAAAAAATTGATTTCCTAGATAAGGTATGCTATTTTCTTCAAATTTACTCTAGTTTTGGTTATGATTTCGGGAATCAAATTGTATCTCGTCTCGAATTTTTCCGCCCGTCGTGGTCAAAGTACCCAAAATTGTTTGACCAAATCCCCTATACCCACACCCATACTAGTGTCGTGTCGACACGGGTGCGGCACCTAAACTTACATGTCGAAGCAACTTAGATGAAAACTAGGATTTAGGAAGAGTCCTACTTAGTTGCTGCAGATTGCCCGAGGATGTTCAACTTCCAAGCTATATTTTGGGAGAAAGAAACCTTGTTGGATCATTGTTGTTTTTGAGCATCAATTTTGTTTAAGCCAGGCAACTAAAAGCCAGCTTAGTCAAAATTCCTGGGAACTACCAAGGGAACAGCATTTGAATGCCCTAAATCTTCTTTTCCACACACTGAATCAGTGAGTTGAGGAGTAATCTTTTATTAGAGCTACCAATCAAAATATGAACTTGTTCGATAAAGGATTCTGACAAAATCAGCCTTCCAGATGCTATGTGCAAAACTAGGTTTTGTTCATGTGTCACGACCCAAGTCCCAACAGGCTCGTGATGGCGCTTAACCCAACTCGCTAGGGAAGCCAACCAACATAAACATAGTTCAAACTGAAGTCATCAAATAAATAATAAAATAAGAACGCAAAGATTAGTACAAGCTATCCAAGGACTAGTAGTACAAGTCATGAGCGACTAAAATTAGGATTACAATGTTGTCCTAAACTACCATGAACAAAATGGTAGATTACAATTAGAACGCCAGTACATCTTCAATTCTAGCCTTCGACTTCCACAACAGCTCAACTCCAAAATCTGCACGTAGGGTGCAAATATGTAGTATGAGTACAACCGACCCCATGTATTCAGTAAGTATCAAGACTAACCTCAACGAAGTAGTGGCGAAGTTTAGTTAAAAGATACTCACGTTATATTACCCATGTAGCTCATAAACCAATACAATAATAGAAAAATAGCCAAGAGACAACCAAGGAACATCTGATATCAATGATAAGGTGCTCGATCAAAGAAGAAGGTAATACGCATGCTTTTTTAAATAACCAGATCAAAACATATACAAATGCACCAAATCAACATATAAAGGAGATTTGTACCAAGTAGCTTTACTCGAATATTTCTACATGAATGTAGAGTGTTTGTGCATGATAGAGACCAAATTTCGCATCAATTCCCAACTAGCAACTATATGAATGATCTTGCATGAGTCTAAGATGTCTATGCATTATGAAGACTCAACATATTCATGAATCTGACACTCTCCAGGTGTGCAACAATCTACTATTAAGTCCTATGCATATATGAAATGCATGAATGTGCATATATCGATGATATACATGCATGTTTCTACGTGAGTCTAGAATGTCAATGCATGATATGACGTAAATAATTCACTTAAGTAATTTAAGCTTCCCCTTTTACGCCCAACTCACAACCAATACCACCATAATTTGACACTCGTCAGTGTCTCACAAACTCTGCGTGTACGCCACCAAGAGAGAAACATGGGAGGGCGATCCTAAGGGATGGTCCGTATCCACATGCTGCACGGCAGAAATCTCGTGCCACAACAATACGCACGACTTAAACCTTGTGTCACAACAATAATTGCACGACATAAATCTCGTTCCACAACAATAATCGCACGGCATAAACCTCGGGCCATAGCAATATCAATCCGCTCATGATGTCCAAATGTACCATAATTAGTGTTTTGGATAGCGTGAGGCGACAAATAGCGATGAGGGACCGCTTCACTGAGGCGAGAAGCGAAAAGCGAAGCGCTCGCCTTTTTGATGTGAAGCGACAATATATACAAAAAAATAAATTATTAAATTTTTGTATATATATATATATATATAAAACTAAGGTCTCTGAGCCGAGGGTCTCCTGGAAACAGCCTCTCTACACCTCCGGGGTAGGGGTAAGGTCTGCGTACACTATACCCTCCCCAAATCCCACTAGTGGGATTTTTACCGGGTTGTTGTTGTTGTATATATAACTAAAAATTCAATAGTAATAATATATTAATAAATATATCAATTCAAAAATTTTAAAATCAATAGATAGTCATAGTAGATTCATAAACTAAAACAAGCAACATCTATTCTTCTTCAAGAATTTCAAATTCTTGAACTTTAAAAGTGTTAGCATTATATTGGCTATCATCTTCTTCATCCTCAGAGTCTTCATCAATTAGGGACCGACTTGAACTTGTAGCTACTCCCTTTCCCTTGTTATTTGAACTTGAATAACTCCCTCTAAGACCATAGATATTCTCCTCAACTCCAGCTGCCATAGAAACAGTACCTCAATCGAGATCATCTCCTACATACACTTGTTCATCTTCATGATTTTGGGGGGCTCCAGTTAACCATTCATTTGCCTCGTCAATGTTATCCAACAAAATTGGATCAATGGTATCGCGAGCGTCATAACGACGCTTCAACATTCTATTGTATTTTATATACACTAGATCATTGAGACGCGATAGCTTAAGCCTATTCCTTTTCTTGGAGTGAATTTGTGCATAAGTTGTAGAGAGTAATTAATAGATACTAATAATAATACAATATAGAATATATTAATATAAATAAATCTTCTTCTTACATGCTCAAATACGCTCCAATTTCTCCCACATCCAGGTGCACTACAAGTTAAGCGTAGTACTTTGACGACAAACTTTTGCAAGTTTGGAGTTTGATGACCAAATTGCATCCACCATTCAACTATAGAAAATTATTTTAAAAGTTAATAAGTATAAATAAATCAAATAAATTAAATTAAAGCTATAAGGATATCTATATTAAAGTTAGTTACCTGGCGACCTTATGTCTCTGGCTCTAATAGCCGCCTATAAACCAAATAGGCCATCTGCCTGTGTGTACTTACCAAAGGCGCACCAACTTTAAGAGCCCGAACGATGTCATTCCAAAATGATGGAGAAATAAGAATTTTGGCAGTTTCTTTCCCAACAGCTTCCTTTGCATATCTATTTTCTTTCCATTTATTTGAAAGAACTAGCTTTCTCAAGTTTTTCTTTTGCAAGTAAAAACTATGCAAAGTCAAGTAAACCGCTGCAAATCTAGTCTTGGACGGTCTCACCAAATTTCTTTCATTGGTAAATTTCCTCATCAAGTTCAACAACAATGGAAACTGACTGATGTAAGAATATATTTTGACGGCCTTAGTGAAAACTGTAAAAGTAACAATAACAATTTTATAATTAATACTTAATAGGACATAAGTATAAATAAAGTTAAAGCTTTAAAGATAACTATATTAAAGTTACCTGAAGCATATGGGTTTTCCTTGAATATGTCACCAAACATCAAATTGATACAATGGGCAGCACGTGGAGTCCAATAAATGTGTGGATACACACCTTGCATCATCTTACCCGCACTAACATTCTCACTAGTGTTATCGGTAACAACTTGTACAACATCTTCCTTCCCAATTTTCTCAATAGTATTTGCAAACAAGTTGTACATTTTGGTTGCATCCGTAGAAGAGTTGCCAGCATCGTAAGATTCAAGAAAAACACTACCTCTTGGAGAATTCACCAACACATTTATGACCATTTTTTCATTCCGTGTTGTCCATTTATCCATCATAATTGAACATCCAAACTTATTCCATTCCCCTCTATGCTTCTCTACAATCTTGTCTATCTTCTTCACCTCTTTTTTAAGATGAGTTACTCCAACATCATGATAGCTAGGAGACTTCATTCCTGGGTCATATTGTCTTACGGCCTCAATGAATTTATCAAAAGTTTTGTAGTTAACACAATTGAAAGGGAGCCCTGCATCGTACATCCATGTTGCAAAGGCACTTACGCGCGATCCCTCAAAATCTTCTTGGCTTCTAAACCTGAACCAGAATCACCTTTTCCCTTTTCTTGTTGTTTTCCAGAGAAATAAAGATTGAAAGGACCTTTTGTGACCGTACGCGCTGTGGATGACTCACTAGAACTATTTGAAGATATCTTTTGAGTTTCTTTTTTGGGGGGAGGTCTCATTTCATCATCTTCATCAATAAGATTCACCAATGCTTCATAACTCATTTGAGTTCTTGTCACATTTTTCTTCTCAACAATTGCTTTTACTTCCTCCCTAAGATCATGCGAACAAAGAGGATATTGTACTGCATTTTTACATCCACCAATCAAATGTTGTTTGTGACGAGTTATTCCACCATGGTATGTTTTTTTACAAAACACACATTTAATTCCGGATCTTGATGAGCCTTGTATAGCATAATTCCAAGCTATATCATTTTTTTTATTACCATCGGATGACGCCATTTCAATATTGTTTTATAGGAAAAAATTATCAAGTCAATATGCAATTAATTCTACTCTATAGCTGAAAAAGGAGGAAATTTCAGGTTTGAAATGAAGCTCTCTGCCTCTGCCCATGAAGGAATTGAAAAAACAGAGCCAAAAAAAAAAAAGAAGAAAAAGGAAGGAAGGAAGGAAGAAAGAAGAAAAAGGAAGGAAGGAATTGGTAGCAATTGACTTGAGCCTTGGGGTTTGCTCCCTTTCAAGGTCTCAAGTTCGAAACCCACTGGGTGCAAACAATTTCTGAGGGCCATCGGACTGGGTAAAACCTGAATTAACCGTGGTGCACTTGCGGGAAACTCCTTGCCGAGGGCCTGTGCACCCCCGGGATTAGTCGGGGCTCAAAGAGACTCGGACACCCGGTGCAAAATCAAAAAAATGATAAGCTAGCAAAATGTAATTTGAAACCTGGTGAGCATTGGGTCCCTATTCTTTACTATAGCAAATCTTGCACCATCTATGGAAGCTGTTAGACTCGAGGATGAGTCTTTTTCAACCAGGGGGGAATGATGCAAGATCAAGAAGGTCAAGAATCCAGAAATTCAAGAAGTCCAAGAATCCATTCTAGATTAGAATTTCTTTTCTATAAAGATTAGGATTTCTTATTTCTTGTTTCCTAGTAATTTGATTCTTGTTTTAGTAGTATTATATTTATAATTCTAGTCAAACTATGTTTATTAGTTGGTAGTCTATTCCTATTAGAATTCTTTTTCCTATTTTAGTTAGGATAGGTTTTCTTAGCCTTATTCTTATTCTAGATTAATTAGGATTAGTTTTCCTTAACCTTACCAATTTTACTCATTCTAAGGCCTATTTAAAGGGCTCAATATGTTGAAAATAAACATGAGTAATTAGTTTCTTTGACCATTAGCTTCAAAACGTGATTGACTCTTTTGTTTCCTCTTCTTCGCTTACTCAACGCTTCTTGCAATCTTGTGGGATTGAGGAATGTGAGAGGTTTCTTTTCATCTTACATTTTTCTAAACCGAGTTTGAAGAATGCTTTCACTAGTTTTGTGAAAAACTTTAGCGGGGTGCTTTTGCTTTTCTCTTCTTTGTGCTTGAGAGGTGCAAAACCTTGAAAGTACATTACTAACATACATGTAAGCTTGCATTTTCAGTTGCACTAGGAAGTTTCTTTAAGCTTGCATTTTCAGTTGCACTAGGAAGTTTCTTTCAGCAGTTAACCAATGGCAAGTCTTCTGTGATGATCTCCCAAGGTAGAGTAAGCACATTCTTCTCTTTCGGTTCCTTAGTTATAGTTCTACCATTCTCCTAGTACACTTCTCATTGGTTTTTTATCCTCACTATGTATTATGAGAATAGTATGTTAGTATACAGATGAATTGCCTTTTGGTTTAAATTCAACTGAAAGGATGTGCTATTTAATTTGAGTAAACAATTCTTATTTTGGAAATCAAGAGAATATGATGCAATGCAAGGTCCCAGATGTGAGTACTGAACTTTGTCACTTCCTGTGTTCATTTCTGGTAGTCTTTTGCTATGTTGTTATGGTCTAATGGTCTTTTAGTTTAAGCTTCACAATGTGCGGTTGTAAGAACTAGTGGACTCCTTTCTGATTCTTTACCTTTTGATATTTCTACGGTGTCCCTTTTTGCTTTGTTCATCAACCTTTATGATATGTGATGATGAGAAACAATGTTTCCTTGTCATGATGGGGCATTATTTTGATGATGCATTGGCTAATGTGATGGGATTTGTTTTTAACAAGCGCCTTCATCTCTTAAGATGCATTCATCCATGTAGTATTATCTGCAGTCCGCCAGAGCTCTATTAAGCAGATTATTTGTTTAGCATTGGTGTGGCATTTTGCATATATTAAGTTCTTATGCACAGCTCACATCTGGTCTCTATCCAGCACCATGAATAATTGATTCTTTGATTTTAATTTCTATTGGGTTCTCTATTGTCTTGCTAATCACTTGACCTAATCTAGTGGGCAGTATCCTCGCTTGTTTGAAGCCATACAAGGCTTTCTTCAATCGACAAGGGAAGTCTGATAGGGCTTTAAGAGATAGGGACGTAAGGGCAGCGGTAAGAAAAAGTCACTCAGTGAATCGGTGGATGCATTGACATTCCCCTTTTTTTCATTATTGTTATTGTCATGGGAAGGAATGAAGAAGATTAGAGATCCAATCAAATTTTGGTGATGAATCCCTCTCCCCCTCTTTTCTCTTGAGTTGTGGTGGCCATTTGCCAGTTAGGTATCAATGATTTGTTTTTTATTCTCGGACCCCAAGCAGAACCAGACTGGCATTCATCCTCTCATTTTCAGAAAATGTTGTTAAATATTGATTTTATGTTTTTTTGTGCCTTGCAGGTTGTTAGTTGTGAACCTTTAACAACTGGCCAGGCAGAACTCCTAAATTCCAAAAAATGACCATTGGCAACCTGGATCGCAAAGCCAACAAGCCGTAGGCCTCTAGCACTTCATCACCATTGATATTCTGGGATCAAGATTTACCAGGTTCAACTCTGGCCACTGAGATTCTGGTTCCTTGTCTAATTGTATGTAGTCCATGTACTGGTAGTTGTTGCATAAGCTTGTTTTGTTCTCTGTTCATGATCTAGTTACTTGATTTTTTACTTGTAGACGAGGAAAGAAATAAAAGCGAAAAATGAATAGTTCTCAAAATAATGTTATTGGTTACAAAAGCCATTCTCAGTAATCCGACGGCAGTCTGTGAGTAAATTAGTAATTGTGAGGTGATTTACTTCTTGCTGAAACTGTCTTCTAACATAGTTTCTCATGCATGTCAGATTTAATAGAACCAATTTCTGGTTAATTTTTCCAGAAAGGATAATGGGGCTGGTGATTTCTGCTTCCATAAATGCCAATACTAAGACTTGTTTGCGTATTAGTTTAAGAAAAATAGATATTGTTGTCCTGTTGATGTTTCTTTCTGAAGTTGGTTGTTACATGAAAAACAAAACCCAGATACATGTACTATTTTTGCAAAGACAAGCAGGTGTGCTTCCAGTAATTACGTATCTGCCAAATGGTGGAACTATGACTTTGATTGTGACTTGTGAGTAACAGTACTGTATTCAATCAAATAAGTGGTAATATTGTCATATGCCTTAAATCAAGGCAAAAGTTAGAGCTTGTTATTTATTCCACTTCCTTTGTTTCTCAATTTGGCTATGTCAATTAGTTGTGATTATGTTTAGTTCGTTAGGAGTCTTTTGTCTTGTTAGAAATCGGTATGCCAGTAGAAAATCCTAAAAACTATTAGCAAGAATTTGCATATACAATCGACCCTAACTAACTTAGGATTGAGCTATAGTTGTAATTAGAAGACCACCCTAAAGATATTACACGAAGAGGTTTTGAATATCACTGAACGTCTCTCATATTGTAATTTTTAAGTAATTACACTCATTTTTCCTCCATGAATTTACAATCTACCTTTTAGATAACATTGTTTTGAAAAAGCATAAAAATGGCAGCCCAGTGTACTAATTTCCCGCTATGCGCAGGGTTCGGGAAAGGGCGGGACAATAGGGTCTATTGTACGCAGCCTTACCCTACATTTCTGCTTGAGGATGTTCCCACTAGGGGTATCAATGGTTCGGTTCGGCCGGTTATTTTATAAAATTTATACCATACCAATTTTTTGGTTATTCAATAATGTATAACCAAAATTAGACTTTTCGAAACCGTTTCAATCATGTCGGTTTCTCTTCGGTATCGGTACGGTTCGGTTAATTTTCGGTATTTTTTAAAATATCATGTAGAAGTCGCTAGTAGAAGTAGAATGCAATAATATATACTCCCTCCGTTCCAATTTATGTGAACCTGTTTGACTGGGCACATAGTTTAAGAAAAAATGAAAGACTTTTAATTTGTGGCCCTAAACAAGTTTAAAAAAGAGTCCAGAGTATTTGTGTGGTATAAAAGCTTCTCATTAATGGTAGAATTGAAAATTTAAGCTAAATTATTTTCAAATTTAGAAAAGGGTCATTCTTTTTGGAACAGATCAAAAAGAAAATATGTTCACATAAACTGGAACTGAGGGAGTATACTTTTATAGGACTTAGCAAAATTGTCTAGATATTTTTACTGTTTAAAGGGTGATGAGTTATGAAAACATGAAAGATGGCTAAAATATAGATCCATCAACTATTCTACAGCTGCGTAAAAGAAACTAAACAAAGACAAAAATTATAAACAACATGAGTGAAAAAATATTAACCAAGTTGTGACTCAAGAATAAAATCTATAGAAGATTAAATATTCAAAAAGATAAATCTAAATCATACGGAAGGAAACATATTCAAGACATTGTAGTTTGCTACTCATAATCGCTAGACTACTCTATGTCTTGCTAGTAAATATGTTGGAAATAATTTAACGTCTGTAGGAGTAGCATAATAGGTTTGAGAATTGGAATTTTGAGTTTAGTTACTTGTTGACTAGTAACCGCTTTCATAATTCCAAGGCCAAAGGAAAAAT